CTTACAGTCCCTCACAGTACTCAATATCTCTTGACTGATCAATATAATAATTGTCCATCATTCAATATATTGAAAAAATGAGACAAAATAATTAAGCATAATTAAGTTCGTGTGAAACAAAAAATGAGTCACTAATTTGGACTTTGTTTTTAGATATTCTCACTTTCTCTTTCAAAGGTATTATTTATTTATTTATTTATTTATTTATTTTTTGAGATGGAGTCTTGCTCTGTCCCCCAGGCTAGAGTACAATGGCACAATCTCAGCTCACTGCAACCTTTTCATCCCAGGTTCAAGCGATTCGCCTGCCTTAGTCCCCCGAGTAGCTGGGACTACAGGTGTGTACCACTGCGCCCGGCTAAATGTTTTTGTATGTTTAGTAGAGATGGGGTTTCACCATATTGGCCAGGCTGGTCTTGGACTCCTGACCTCAAGTGATCTGCCTGCCTCAGCCTCCCAACGTGCTGGGATTACAGATGTGAGCCACTACATCCAGCCTCAAAGGTATTATTTAAATTGAAGTTAAAATTCTTTCATGCTTTATCCTCATTCTGTTCCCTTCCTATTAACACTCTGGATGGACATTAATTTTATGAATGAATGGTCATCATGTTACCAAGCAAAAAGATGGAGGAGAAAAGCCAGTAAGTATTCACCAGAACATTTCAATATGTGTGCAACTTTGTGTGACTGAATTCTTAAGTCAAAGGGAAAAGGATTATCCTTTATTTTGGACTAACAACGTGTCTACCTTAGGACAGCAAATTAAAATCTGGTCATACCATGTATTTGATTTTTTTCAAATATTAAAAAATCAGACTATAAGACATATAAACAAGAGTCCCTAAAACTACAAATGAATAATATGACCTTATACTTTGTAATAAAAAACTAAATCTGCAGTACCTTAGTGCTTTGAAACCTAAACAACACAGTGACAAGTAAGACTGCACTGGGTGATATGCAGAATTCTAGAAAATGTAATTCAGATTCCAAGTGAATTGTTACAGTTGGATGATGTCTAAAAACCGCTCTGTTGCTAATGGATACCCTTCCACTCAAAGCCTACTTAACTCTTTAAGGGGATTTTAGGTTTCCCCAAACATAGATAACAATGAAACAGCATTTTGCTTCACCCCAAACCATCAAAAAGACAAACTAAAACAAGTTAATGGCAGAAGCCACAACCATGTAGAAAAGTGCAAATTTCAAAATGCTCTTCTCTTTACTGAGTGCTAGGGGTATAGAGCTGTCCCCTCAGTAGCAGAGGGAAAAGGTAACCTGTAAAAGAAAAAGGTATCTACCCAGATCTCGAACTGTTGGCAAGAAAATCTTTCTGAATGTAGTTCTTTGAACTCATTCATTTAGATAGGAGAAATCTGCATCAAAATTTTTTCTCCCTGGTATCTTTACATAGAAAAATACTCAACATTTAGAATTTCCTACCTCTCTCCACTTGAGAGTGTTATTACACTTAAGTGCAAGAAAGGAAAACTTACCGAGAATGACTTAAGTATAAAGCTTGACGATGAATATCTTCTGGGTCTATTTCTACAGGATTTATTACAGCTAGTTGATCAATAGACCATCTAAATTTCCCTGGAGTCTTAACAAAAGAAAGTGAGCTTATGAGTAAAGGCAAACTAAAATAGTTCATCAAAATGCTAACCAATGTGTTTATAATACAAAAATATTTTAAAGCTTGTATTTTAAAATTTGACTTTACCATGAAATTAAATGGCAAAGGGTAATCATATCATATTAGATCAACTGACTTAATTGTATATCTCTCTCTCTTTTTTTAAGATAGAGTCTTGTTCTGTCACCCAGGTTGGAGTGCAATGGTGTAATCTCAGCTCACTGTAACCTCCACCTCCCGTGTTCAAGCAATTCTCCTGCCTCAACCTCCTGAGTAGCTGCGATTACAGGCGCCCGCCACCACGCCCAGCTAATTTTTGGGTTTTTTTTTTCAGTAGAGACAGGATTTCACCATGTTGGCCAGGCTGGTCTCAAACTCCTGACTTCAAGTCATCAGCCCACCTTGGTAGTGCTGGGATTACAGCATGAGCCACAGCGCCCAGTCTGTACGTCTTTTAAAATAACAAAATATTCCACCTGGGTTGGAATTACATAATACTAGAAAAAATCACAACAGAGTAATGAAGATACAAAACTTTCATAATTAACACTCATCAGTGTGATACACTAAGCCCATGTAAAACTAAAAATCTCTTACAGTTATCAAAAATCTTTACTTTCACTAAGAAGGAACTGGAATTAAACAAAGTCCTTAGTCACTTTGGAGATGGCTGCAAAAGCTCATAACATAGTTGATTCTTAAAATAATTATGAATGGCAACCAGTGCTGCCTTTCTGTACTCAACCATCCAACTGTATCAAAGGTTTATCCAAATCCTAATCTGTAATTAGAAATATATTCTAGGCAAATTCAGTCCTAAAAATGCAAGATGCCATACATTCCAACTTTGAGAATTAAGCTGCCGTAAATCTATTATTTATTGTTAGTAAGACCAAGAGATAAATTTTAATATGATTCAATTAGAAATCATAAGGTCAGATTGATGAAATGACTCAATATGAACTGCTCGACCTTCCACTAGTACATACCTGCTCATTGTAAAACTTATATGAAAGTGTAGCAGAAACAGCCACCCTATTTGCAGTTTTTCTAAGTAACTTGGTAGGTTGAAAGATCCAAGGTCAAAAGAACTTATCCAGTGTAGCAAGTAACAGTAAAATAAGATAAAGTGACCCGGGCACGGTGGCTCATGCCTGTAATCCCAGCACTTTGGGAGGCTGAGGTGGGTGGATCACATGAGGCCAGGAGTTCGAGATCAGCCTGGCCAACATGGTGAAATCCCATCTCTACCAAAAAAAAAAAAAAAAGATAAAGTGATGAAGCCTTTTCTAATATCCCGAAAAACACTTTTCCTTCATATTACTATTGTGCTAAGCACTAATCACCTATCACACTGTCCTGATATTACTCGTCTAGTATTAGATGAGTAATAGTCTAGTCTAACACATTAAAATAGGGGTTAGTTTCTTTTTATAATAGATTACAAGCTAAGAATTATTTTGACAGTTTTAAATGGTTGGAGAAAAAAACAAAAAAAAAATATTGTGACATGTGAAAATTATATGAAATTCAAATGTGTCCATAAATAAAGCTGTATTGGAACAGAGTAACATTTATCTCTTTACACATTGCCTATGGCTGCTTTTGTGATTCAAGACAGAAGTGAGTAGTTGTGACAGAGATCAAATGATCAGTAAAGCTTAAATATTTACTGTCTGGCCCCTAACAGAAAGTTTGTGACTCCTACATTGGAGTATAACCTCCTTAAGGATTTGTGCCTAATGATCCTAACTTGTTCACAGCGTAATCCCTGCTTAGCATTGTATCTGACACATAGCAACACTCAAATAATGTTTGCCAGGTAAGTGAGAACAGAATATTAGATGATGCAGCTTCTTCTCTAACGTATTAGCAGCTATATCATCAACCACAGAATGTAGCTACACCCACAACTGCAGGAAGCTAACATATGTTGTTCTTGAACTTAAAAAAAAAAAAAACTTCTAGCTAACTTATTAACCTAACCACTAGATTATAATGAACACTACAATTTTTAAAAGTACATTGCAGTTATATATGCTCCATCATGTATTTCCTCCTTACCTTGTAAAGACAGATGTTTACATTTAAAATTATTTGTAATTATTTACATTTAAAATTAGTTGTAAACACTAGTCAGGAATAACTTACTGGTAATTTTGTTGATTTAAAAACAGAAGGACTGGCGAGAGTTTGTTCATGGAGATTAGAATAATCACTAGGACTTTCAAAAGGATTTAAAACAGGGATCCTTCCTGGAGTTTCTGGTGTTATTTGCATTTTAGATTCCTTGACATCTCCCATAGCACAGAGAGAAAACTAAAGAGAAATCAAGAGTACATATGTTAAAATTACAAAGTCCCATAGATATTAATTTTACCTATTAAAATGTATTCGACAAATGTGTCACAAAAACAACTCAAAACCTAACACTCTTGGGGCTATGATACAGCTTATGAAAAAAGTATCACATATAAATGTTCTCAACTGATCCTCGAAATAACCTTGAAGGCTATAGCAGTAAGTTATTAGTGATATTATTCTGTGAAAGAATTAACAAGCTCAGAGACGTGAAGTGGCTTATACGCAGCAATCAAATATGAATTCAGATCTAAAGGTTACAACAGGCACAAATCTCTTCTCAACTAAAGGACTTATAGCTACAATTTTTTTAAAATTCATCATCTCACGTCTCAACACTATGAACATTCTTCGGATACCCCATCCAACTACAGTTGCTATTAAACAATTCTTTGTAGCAAGCAGGTAAGAGATGCAGAAGCTTGTGCCTTTCTTACACATGAGTCCTAGCCAGAGAAGTATGATTGACAGGGGCTAGGAAATTAACTGCCTTGAGTCCCCTTTCCTCCAAAAATCCTCCTTTCGCCAAGACCTCCCCCTCACCCCTCCCAGGATAGAAAGCGACTCTGCATTATTTCCAATCAAAGGAGGCTACAACTTGGCGGGGTGGGGTGGAGAAGAGTCTACTTCTGTAAGGTTGAGATGCAGCCGGCTTCCTCGGACGGAGCGCCGAGGAGGCGTCGCCCCCCACCCTACGTGGCCACTCTTTCTGGTGCCCCTGTCTTCCACACCTACTCCCTGACTGCTCCCATTCACCAGGGGCCAGCGGGCAGGCAAGTCAGGAGCTGGGAAAAGAAACCTCTCCATTCGGACAGGAGGAAAGGTCAGGGACCATAAAAAACCTACCTACCGGTGCGTAGAAAACGAAGCCCCCAATACCGACTACAGGGAGCTCCCGGGGGCCAAGCCAGCTTCCACGTCAGGCACAGACTCTTTAACTCCCCGCTTCCGCGCTGTCTTGGGCCAACCAGGGCACGGGGCTTGTGAGCGACTGGCCAATCGCGTCGTCCCGCCATCCGCGAACCAACCAATTGCACGGAGGCCGCGTAGAAAATTCGAATAGCAACTCCTGGCTCCACGTTCCGCGCAGAGGAACGAGGCTCCAAATTCAAATCAACGCAGCCTCACGCCGGCGGCGAGCGCGAGGGGCGGAGCCTGCCCGGCGTGAGCGGAGACGCGCCGTGTGATTGCCCGGGAGAGAGGAAGGCGCTCCAGTTCCGGGTCAGGCCCTTCTCCCGCCTCCCTCGGCCTTAGCCATGGCGAGTAGCAGCGGCGCTGGGGGGGCGGCGGCGGCGGCCGCGGCGGCGAATCTGAATGCGGTGCGGGAGACCATGGACGGTGAGTGTCAGTTGCGCTCCTTTTACCTTGCCTGCCTTCCCAGAGCCAAGGCCCCCAGGCGGAGCTGAGCCTGGGGAGGACTTCAGGTCCCCTTCGTGCCCCAAACGGCATCTTCGAAGATCTTTGGAAGGGACCTGCCAGGGCCGCAGGACTGATGGCCCTATCCCTTGAGAGTTGTCTCCGCCGCTGCGTAGTTTGTCGCGCGCGCCAGACGTTGCGGCCCCCTAGTCAGCCGGTTGCGCACCGCGTCCTTCTCGCGCGAATGCCGCGCCCCTTCTATCCCGCGTCCCAGGTCCGCCCTACCCGCCCGATCTCCTGCGGTGACAGCGCCACGCCCACCCCACCCAGTACACCCGTTCCCTCCTGCGCGCCGCGTCCCACCGGATTCCCGCGCAGGGCGCTTCGGGGGTCCCCAAGGTTGGGATCCTGGCGGGGACAGGGGCCAGGTGTTTGGTCACCGCTATGCCTCGTGTTCTTCGCACTTAAGTAGGCGGCCTTTAATATCCTGCGAATGATTAAGTTCCCCGCTTCGTCAGAATTATCCTAGTTTCCTCTTGAAGCGGGTGACGCCAGTGCCCAAGTGCTATGGGTGTCGCCTGTTTTCGGCCCTGGAGCCTACACAAGCTCTGGAGCCTACACAAGCCCTGGAGCCTACACAAGCGTTGCAGAACACGAAATTAGTGTCTTGCCGGTTACCTTCTCTCTACTCTCTAATGCCACTTTATAACCCTGTGGTGAGCTTGGACTAGATACTTAAACATTGAGCCTGTTTGTTTAAAATAAAATCCTGCCTCCAAGAGTTGTGAATATTTAAATAAGACAACCATGTAAAAATATATCAAAGATGATCAATTATTTTTATATTATTTCCGATGTCATCTCTCTTGTAGTCTCCTTTGTCTCCTTTTTACTCACATCCACCTGTATTATGAGTGTTTGATCGATGTTAAATGTCATTTGCAGTGGGCCTAGACGTTTTCCAGAGGCTACTTAAGTCAGCTTCCCTCTCTGTTAAAAGATAACCCTATGAAATTCTCACTCCTGTATCTCTTTCTCCTTCACTGTAGGCTTTTTTTTTTTTTTTTTTTGAGATGGAGTCATGCTGTGGTTGCCCAGGCTGGAGTGCAGTGGTGCAGCCTCAGCTCACTGCAACCTCCGCCTCCTGTGTTCAGGCAACTCTTCCCAGCCTCAGCCTCCGGAGTCGCTGGTATTACAGGTGCCCGCTACCACACCCGGCTAATTTTTTTTTATTTTTAGTAGAGACGGAGTTTCACCATGTTGGCCAGGTTGGTCTCGAACTCTTGACTTCAGGTGATCCACCCACCTGGGCTCCCAAAGTGCTAGGATTACAGGTGTGAGCCACCACCCCCGGCCTCATTTTCTTACATAGCCCCTGCAGAAGGGCTGCTGGCTTTTTCTGCACTGGCTGCTCGTTCCTTTTTCAAAGAATTAACATTTTTAGAGACTTTGCATCTAATTTTTCACTTGTTCAGTATCTACCTTGCTGTTTTTCTGAGAATGTTAATATTCAGCCTATTTTTCTATCCTTTTCGATGTATCAACACTTACTAGTTTTATTTTGTAAGTGAATTTATGCATGTGTGTGTGTGTGTGTGTCTGTGTGTATAAAAATTTACTAACTTGTATGTTTCCTTGGAAAAAGGTAGAGTATAAGACCTCACTTCTAGCCTGTTTTCTTATGTTAGCTGTACTTAGGTTCCTTATGTATATGGTCGTAGGATCCTATTTGAATAGAAAACTCACATTTTCTCTCTGGTGGAACCACTGATGTACAATTGAGAACTGATGATTTGTGTTGGCTACATCATCAAGATCTTTTCTGAGAAAACCTGGTGTAAAATGAAGATTATAGAGAGAATAAGAACATGAAAAAGTGAAGTAAAACAAAAAATGAAGGAGAGGGGATGTGGTGTTTCACAGTATTTAAATCAACCCATGAGATCAAAAGTGAAATTTTCAAAACTTTGAGTACCATTTCTCCCCTCAATGGCAGGATTTGTGAACCCCCCTTTAAGTCATATGAATTGCAGAACTCTTGGCTACATTTGCGTTTTGATCATGAAATGGAAGGATTTTGTTAAAGACATGGGAGGCAGCAGGCTGACTTTGTATTAATCAGTTATCTGTGTAGCTCACTCTGAAAAGAACTATCCCTGCCTATTTAGAATACGGTCTGCATGAGATCTTTGCTTTCATCCTTATATCCTTAAAATTCTGCATTCTCTTAAAATAGTCGTGCCTTTTCAACAACACCCCCCGCCCAACCCACTGGGTATGGTTGCCTCCTTTGCTTTTCAGTTTTTTGATATGTTAGGTATTCTCTGTTGATTGCTTTATACTTTAATTTTTGTTTTCCTCTCAAATCATCCTATGCATCTGAATTTTAATTTTGATAGTTATTCCTTACGAGAGTCTTTATCATAACACTTACTTTTTTTTTTTGAGACTGAGTCTGGCTGGAGTGTAGTGGCGTGATCTTGGCTTACTGCAACCTCTGCCTCCCAGGTTCAAGCTGGGGATAGGACCCAATTCTCCTGCCTCAGTCTCTGGAGTAACTGGGATTATAGGCGCCCGCCACCATGCCTGGCTAATTTTTGTATTTTTAGTAGACACAGGGTTTCACCATGTTGGCCAGGCTGGTCTCGAACTCCTCACCTCAGGTGATCCACCCGCCTCAGCCTTCCAAAGTGCTGGGATTATAGACTTGAGCCACTGTGCCCGGCCTGTAGCACTACTTTAAATATATATATAAAGTAGTACTATACTTTAGTACTTATATATAGTATATATATAGTAGTACTATATATATACAATACTTTCGTATATATATAGTAGTACTATATACATATACACTACTATATATAGTATATATATCTATACATACATATAGTAGTGTGTGCATATATATATAGTAGTATATATATTTGTAGTAGTAAGCTCAGGCACCTGTATTCCCAGCTGCTTGGGAGGCTGAGGCAGGAGAATCGCTTGAACCTGGGAGGCAAAGGTTGCCGTGAGCCGAGATTGCGCCACTGCACTGCAGACTGGGTGACAGAGCTAGACTCCATCTCAAAAAAAAAAAAAAAAAAAAAAGGAAACACATTATAGAGAAAGGAGTTAAGAGAATCTATGGTATATATATTCCATTTGACTAGCACTGCAAGGCAGTGCCAGCAAAAGAAACAGGTAGTCCATGCTACCACCATCAATCCAGTTGCACATTTGAGAAAGAAATCTGGAAGTCTGTCTTGCTTTCTCACCTCCTCTGCCTCCTGTTCTTCACTAAGCTCTTTCAATTCTTGACTCATTTCAGGTTGGCTAAATATCTCCTGATCATACTACCCACCCGTCTTTTATCAAAATTGTGATATAACTGGACTTTTTAAAGATTCATTTGATACTCAGCCAAAAAGTCCTTAAATTGCAAATTTGATCTATTCATGTTCCTATTTTATATCTTCCAATAGCTTTCCACAGTTCTAAGATCTTCACTAGGACTTATCTCATATTTTATACCCATTCACCCCATTAATTACATTGCCTTCACAATAGCAGTTCAGGTCTGTGAATTTATTAAGTTCCCTCTAGTGTAGGAACCATCACACAAGCTGTTTTCTTTGCTCTCACCCATCACCCTTCCTCCTGCCTCTGTATTAGTCTGGTTGATTTCTTCTCACCTTTGATGTCTAAGTGAAATTGTAACTTCTTCAGACAAGTCTTTGCTAAACACTGTGTCCTTCCAAACTTGGTAAGATGCCCTTGTAATTTGTTTCAGAAGTATTCCACTCTTTTTCTTTATTTTACTTATATCTGGAATCAGTTATTACTTTAATGTCTATCTCTCCTCCTGGACTAATATCTGTGAGGACCGGGACCATATCTACCTTGTTCGTAACTGTATTTGCAGCAGTAGCATAATAGGCACAAAATACATACAGTTACAGGTTGATTATCCCTCATCCAAAAACCTTGGGACATGTTTTGGATTTCAGATTTTTTTTTTTTTAATATTTTCACATACATAATGAGATATCTTGGGGATGGGACCCAAGTCCAAACACAGAATTCATTTATGTTTTATATATGCCTTATACACATAGCCTGAAGGTAATTTTGTTTTATTCCCTCAGGGATGCCGAATGAGCTGTGTATTGAGCACCTGCATTTTGACTTTGATCCATTATATGAGCTGTGGAATTTTCCACTATGGTGTTATGTCAGTACTTAAAAAGTTTTGGATTTTGGAGCATTTCACATTTCAGATTTTGGGATTAGGAGTGTTCAACCTGTACTAATCATATAGTGGGCACTAAAGAAATAGTTTTTGATTACAGGTGATTTGTGAAAATAGGAAGTAAAAATAGGTGTCCATTTGAAAAGAAGGCTTAAAGAAGAAATACCGGAGATGAGATGAACTAAGAAAACAGCATTGAGTTATACGAAGGGAGGAGAAAAGGCAGAGGAGAAAAGCATGAACAAAGGCGTGAAGTCAGGAATAAGCATAGCCTTTATAGGTGGGGGGTCTACCATGAAGAGAACAAACTGGACAGAGAAGGGAGAGAATCAACTGAAAAACTGTTAGAAGCATCATAGAATTCATCAAGGTGACTGGTGATTAAAAAGTGTAATATGTAATGTTCCAGTATACTGATGGTAACCACTTAGAATGTACAAGGGCTAAGTAGAATCCATTTATGAAGACAGTCAAAAATAAAGTGAAGATTCAGTATGGTAGATTGAGCACTTGCTGAAACTCTAAGAATATAAAAATAATAGGAAATAGTAAGAAAATGTATCAGGATAGACCTGTTCAAAAGCAAGAAGGGAAGTCCCCGTTGATTAGGAAAAGAGAGGTTTCCCCCAAAAGAAAGGAGCACATGGGAACCACAACAGGGAATTGTCGGGAATAGAACCTGACAAAGCATGCTACCCTGCCTCACGGAAGCTGGGAGTCAGAAATGTGCCATTTGTCACAGCCAGAGATTGAGAAGCACCGTCCATGTGTTTTTTGGATCTGAACCAAAAATACTACAAGGCCTGATCTAGAGGCCTAAGGCTAGGGTACAGCGTCCTATCTTAGAATGTGTCACCAGTCCAGGACACCTAAAATAAATCTATGGAGGATGAGTTTTCAGCCAAGAATGACAAAGCACGTAAGGTAGATGAAAACCATGAGCAACTAACATGGAAAATGAAAAAGAGGGAAAGTGGTAGTAACAGGGAACTCTTTTATTGAGCCCTACCGTATGTCAAGCATCATTCCAAAGGACCGCAAGGCAGTTTCAGCAAAACAAACGGATACCATTCTCAGTGTATCCTTTAATTCTCACACTAATCCTTTAAAATAGGTACTCTTATCCTCACTTTAGAGAATGGGGAAATAAGGCACAGAGAGAGTAACTTGCCTACTAAATACTACAGCTAGAATTTGAACACAGGTAGTCTGGCTCTAGAGATCACACTCCTAACCACTATCTTTTGCTGCTTGCTTATACTTCAAGAAATAGAGATAATAGAGCAATCTCAAATACAGTTTAAGAATATAGCCTTAAATAGATGAAGGCAGGATCAACAGCTGTGAAATTAGTCACTATAAATAAGCATTTAGTTATAAAACAAGTGATTATGGGGAGAAATTGGAAATCTTAAAAGGTATTGAAATAAATTCAGCAGATAATGTGAATAACCAGCTGGATACAGCTGAAGAGCAAAGTATCAGTAAACCGGAATATCAGAACTGAAGAAATGAAAATGGGAAGGGCTGTCATCTTCCAGCCAAGATGGAGTAACAGAGATTAGATTTATGCTTCTGCTTGAAACAACCAAGTAAACTCATAAGCATACAGAACAATGGTTTTCAGGACACTGGACATCAGCCATCAGAGTACAGTGATCCCTTAGAGACAGGAAACAAGCAAAGTGATTTCTTGGGTTGCCCCAGCTCACTGCCTTCAGAGAGTTCCAGGCCTCAGTATAGCAGGGAGAACCCAGGCGGAACCCAGTGGACACACTAAAGTGAATTTAGAAGACTGAAGGAGTTTAGAAGACCCAGGAGACCAAGGCAGGTAGAGTTTGAATAACAGTACCTGAGAGGGGAGAACTGCACAGAAAAAATGCTGGAGATCTGTAGAAGTGTGCCCCTTAAGTATTCAGAGCACTGATTAGCAGATGTGTGAGGAAAGTACTCAGAAAACTGGGAGGGTACCATCTAGAACGACTGGAGTGAACAGTGCACCATGCTTACACAGGGCTGAGGATAGTACCTGTAACTACCAGCCAGAATGGAAATCTGTAATTCATGAGACATTGGATAGAGTACTCAGAATTCTTACCTCAGTCGTAAGGGGAATAATTAGTCCTATGCTAAACAGGGCTCTGGTCCTGCCTAACAGATCTAAGAAGTAATACCTGAAAGAATCAAACCATTTCCAGATAACGGTATCTCATTCTAAAGCTCAAGAATATAGAAATACAAAAATATCCTGTACCTAAGTAAAATTCTGAGTACATGGCATCTAGTCAAAGATTACCAGGTATGCAAGGCAGAACAGTGTGACCCATGACGTGAAAAATTCAGTCAATTGTAATAAACATCCCCCCGATCACACAGATGTTAGAATTAGCAGACAAGGGCATCAGAACTATATTCTATATCTCCAAACAGTTTAGCAGACGCATGGAAGACATTTTTTTTTAACACTCAAATTGAACTACTTTCTTTGTTTGTTTTTCTTTTGAGACAGAGTTGCTCTTGTTACCCAGGCTGGAGTGCAATGGCGCAATCTCGGCTCACCGCAGCCTTTACTTTGCGGGTTCGAGCAAGTCTCCTGCCTCAGTCTCACAAGTAGCTGGGATTAAAGACATGTACCACCTTGCCCGGCTAATTTTGTATTTTTAGTAGAGACGGGGTTTCTCCATGTTGATCAGGCTGGTCTCAAACTCCCGACCTCAGGTGATCTGCCCACCTTGGCCTCCCAAAGTGTTGGGATTACAGACGTGAGCCACTGCGCCCGATTCAAATTGAACTTCTAGGGATGAAAGTGAATATCTGATATGAAAAAAATGGGAGGGACCTATCTCATGAACATGATAAATACTGTAAGAATTTTCAGAAAGACTTAGAGTTAAATTAATGGGTGACTAAATATTGATAACTTGTCCATTCTCCCAAAATAATATGTAGTTTTTATACAGTTAATCAGAATCCAATTTGAATTTGTTTTTAGAATTGATGAAAAATTTTAAGTTCATCCAAAGAATAAAAGGGCTTATATAAATGAAAGATAATGGAATGTTTACCCTACTACATGCAATATAAAGTTAGTAATTAAATGGTTGCCTTTACAAAAGATAGACATGTAACAAATTTGTTGGTATATGGGAATTTACTATGGATAAAGGTGGCATCTCAATTGGGTAGGGAAAACTTAGGTCATTCAATAAATTTTACTGGGGCAACTGGCTCATTTCTGGGAGGAAAAGTTAGATCCTATTTTCCACCCAAACTCCAGGGAGATAAATACTTATGGGGGGTATTGGGAAATAAACTTTCAAGTGCTGGAAGAGAATACTGGTGGATATAATCTTTGCGTGAGGAATAACTTTCTAAGCATAATGCCAAGGGGAAATGATATAGGAAACAGTAAATAATATGTTGACAGTTGACTTAAAATATTCTAAATACTCTCCGGGAAGCAATCATAAAACAAAATTCAGTGGAACCGGTGTACTTACAACCTGTAATGGAAGGGATTCAGAAAATCACTTTGGAAACCAACTTTCTCTGTTTGTGCTTCTCATGTTAAAGAGTTCTGGCCGGGCGCGGTGGCTCAAGCCTGTAATCCCAACACTTTGGGAGGCCGAGTCGGGTAGATCACGAGGTCAGGAGATCGAGACCATCCTGACTAACACGGTGAAACCCCGTCTGTACTAAAAAATACAAAAGCTAGCCAGGCGAGGTGGCGGGCCCCTGTAGTCCCAGCTACTCGGGAGGCTGAGGCAGGAGAATGGCGTAAACCCAGGAGGCGGAGCTTGCAGTGAGCTGAGATCGGGCCACTGCACTCCAGCCTCGGTGACAGAGCGAGACTCCATCTCAAAAAAAAAAAAAATAAAAGACAAAGAGTTCTATCAACTACAATAAAATGTAGTACTATACAAATGAAGTTTAAAAAAATACAAAGTTTCATTTTTATTATTAGATTCAACAGACATGGTTTACGCTGTCAAATTGTCATAAAAGTTTCTAAACACTTTTAAAGCCTTAAATATGTACATTACTTTTTTTTGACTATTGTACGTCAGTTGAGCAAATATGTATATTACTGACTGAAGAGTTGTACTTCTAGAAATGTATCCTAATGAAATAAAATTTAGTATGTACAGATTCTTATCAATATTTGAATGGGGGAAACATGAGAGCAGCCTAACTTTTAAAGTAACAGAGCAGTTAAATGTAGCGTTTCCATAAAATGGCACAATATGCAACTAACTAGTTAGACTGCATTTTAAAAGAATACTAAAAAATAAGCAAGCGTTCAGAATTATCCTAAGTATGGTAGATATGTGTTAGATATTAAATGAGTGCCAGAATATATACCAAGATGTAAAAGGCAGTTATGTGAAGGGAAGTCTAAGTTTATATTTAAGTTTCTAAAACTAAGTAAAGGCAAGAAAGTATTACATGCAGATTTCCAAAATCTGGGATGCTATGCTAATTCCTTGGTATTGTGCAGTGATATGTAAATTAATGAAAGTACTATATGCATATTTTTAAATGATGTAAGCCTTTTTTAAAAAGTTTCTTTTTTTTTCTTTTTTCAGTTCTGCTTGAGATTTCAAGAATTTTGAATACTGGCTTAGATATGGAAACTCTGTCTATTTGTGTACGGCTTTGTGAACAAGGAATTAACCCAGAAGCTTTATCGTCGGTTATTAAGGAGCTTCGCAAGGCTACTGAAGCACTAAAGGTTGGAGATTCCTATTAGTTCATTCTAAATAAAGATGTTTTTATTTAGAAAAATGATTAATGATGAAGTTATGGGAAACATCCTGGCTAAACAAGGTTAAACTAACATCCAACACCACCAGGAGACCAGGAGCTTAATAGCGTATGTTCATATCATAAAAATTACTACTACCAGTCTGAGCACGGTGGTGCACGCCTGTAATCCCAGCACTTTGGGAGGCTGAGGCTGGCAGATCACAAGGTCAGGAGATCGAGAACATCCTGGCTAACATGGTGAAACCCTGTCTCAACTAAAAATACAAAAAAGTTAGGCGGGCATAGTGATGGGCGCTTGTAGTCCCAGCTCTCAGGAGGCTGAGGCAGGAGAATGGCATGAACCTGGGAGGCGGAGCTTGCAGTGACCCGGGATGGCGCCACTGCACTCCAGCCTGGGTGACAGAGCGAGACTCCATCTCAAAAAAGAAATTACTACTACCATGGACCATGTTACATTTTCCTAGAAGTCTCTGTTTTTAGAATTGTGCTATTTGTTGAGTAAAATTGTGCCTGCTCCAGAAGAGGTATATTCAAGTCCTAACCCCTGGTCCCAATGCATATGACCTTAGTTAGAAATAATGCCTTTGCAGATATAATCAAATTAAGATGAGGTCATCCTGGATTAGTGTAGATCCCAACCCAATGATTGGTAGCCTTATAAGACAAGAGAAATCTGGACACAAATAGCCAAGGAAAGTTAAGGATTTTCTGTGGCCACAAGAAGCTAGAAAGAGGCAAGGAAGGATACTCCCCTAAAACTGTCCGAGAGCATGACCCAGCTAATACCTTGATTAATTATGTATAATATGTATGCATTTCTGGCCTTCAAACTGTAAATAGATTTTTGTTGTTTTAACCCACCTAATGTGGTTACTTTGTTATGGCAGTCCCAGAAATCTGATACAGATTTTGGTACTGGGAAGTGGGGTGTTGCTGTAACAAATACTTAAAAGTGAGGATGTGGCTTTGGAATTAGGTATTGGATAGAGACTGGACAGTTTTAAGGTGCTTGATAGAAAAAGACTAGATTTCCTTGAAGAGGAACTGTTTGTAGAACTGGGAATGTTCAGGCAATTCTGGTGAGGGCTCAGAAAGAAGAGAAGAGAGCTATAGAGAAAGCTTCAGGGCTTTTTTGAGACTAACATTAGGATCAGAATGTTGCTAGAAATATAAATGTTAAAAGCACTTTTAGTGAAGACCCAGATGGAAATGGGGAACATTTATTGGACACTAAAAGAAAGGTGATCTTTGTTAGAAAGTGACAGAATGGGCCAGGCACAGTGGCTTACGCCTGTAATCCCAGCACTATGGGAGGCCAGGGTGGGTGGATCACCTGATGTCAGGAGTTCAAAACCAGCCTGACCAACATAATGAAACTCTGTCTCTACTAAAAATACAAAATTAGCCAGTTGTGGTGGCACATGCCTGTAATCCCAGCTACTTGGGTGGCCGAAGCAGGAGAATCACTTGAACCAGGGAGGCAGAGTTTGCAGTGAGCCAAGATTGCAACATTGCACTCCAACCTGGGCAACAAGAGCGAAACTCCATCTCAAAAAAAAAAAAAAAAAAGAAAGTGACAAAATGTGGCTGAATTATGTTCTACTGTTGGAAGGAAAATAGAGTATGTAAAAATGAACTTGGATATTTCTTTGAGGAAATTTCCAAGCAAATTGTGGAAGGTGTAGCCTGATTTCTTTTTGTTGCTTAATAATGTGACACAAATGAGCAATTGAGTAAGGACCTGCTAAGAGAAAAGGAACTAGCATTTGAGAATTTAGAAGATTCTCAGCCTCTCTGAATAACATGTTCTGGAGACAGGGCTAAGAGTGTGGCTAGACTTTTGTGAAGAGATTAGGTATGTGATAGAGCCAGTCAGCCATCTCAGCACAAACACTACCAGCTTGGACAGGATGAAGTGAAAGAAGGCTGTCAGATTACTGGGATTCCTCAGACAGGAAAGTGGCTGATAGAGCTGCTCAGCTGTGAGCCCATGTGTTATCCTTCAAGAAAAGGAAAAAGTGACTCCAAGAGTGCCTCAGGGACCAGAGGGCTGCTGCTGCCACCAGGCTCCCAGAGGGCCACCTTTTTTCAAATTCAAATTAACCACCTTTTAATTGCTCAGACTGGCAACTAAAAACATATCCTATTCTCTCTTGCACAGACTTTCTGATTTAAAAGCTTGTGATTTTATTTCCCTTTTTATTTAGCACTAACTCACTTTGAATACTGAAACTTTAAGTTAGTTCATCTTAAAACTTGTCCAAAATGTGGGCTCACAGAAAAGACAGTCAATGGAGGGGAAAACAAACAAACAAAACCTTCTGATACCTGATACAAAGTGAATTCTCTTTTTTCTTACCTTTAAGAAAACAACTATTTAAAACATGCAATTTACATATCTTTCTGATTATTTTCCAATGAGTTCTTTAGGTTTGTTTTTGTGCTTTTTAAAATCTCTTGATTATTGAATCTAACTAAAAAGGGTAAACCACATTTATAGAGCTAAAATGTATCATATAGAGAATATCTATGCAACCATCACTGCCAGCACCAGATAATCCCCCTTCTGCCCCCTCCCCAATCACTAACCTTTCCCTCTTGCACTCCCCTCTAGTAACTACTATCCTCACTTTTATGGTAGACTCTGTATTAGTCCATTCTTGAATTGATATAAAGAAATACCTGCTGGGCTTGGTAGCTCAAGCCAGTACAGGCTTGACACCCATTACTTTGGGAGGCTGAGTTGGGCAGAGCACTTGAGGTCAAGAGTTCAAGACCAGCCTGGCCAGCATAGTGAAACCCATCTCTACTAAAAATATAAAAATTAGCCAGGCATTATGGCAGGCACCTGTAATCCCAGCTGCTCAGAAGGCTGAGGCAAGAGAATCACTTGAACCCAAGAGGTGGAGGTGGCAGTGAGCCGAGATTCGCGCCACTGCACTCCATCCTGGGCGACCTAGGAAGACTTTGTCTTAAAATAAATAAATAAATAAACAAACCTGAAACCAGATAATTTGTAAAGAAAAGAAGTGTAATTGGCTCATGGTTTTACAGGCTGCATAGAAAGCATAGTGGCATCTGCTTCTGGGGAGGCCTCAGGAAGGTTACAATCATTGTGGAAGGCAAAGGGGGAGAAGGCACGTCATGTTGCAAAAGCAGGAGCGAGAGAGTGAGGTGCCACATAGCTTTATGTAATCAGAACTCTTAAGAATTCACTCACTATAGTGAGTACAGCACCAAGCGAATGGTGCTAAACCATTCATGAGGGATCTGCCCCCATGAATCAGTCAACTCCCACCATGCCCCACCTCCAACATTGGGGATTACATTTCAAAGTGAAATTTGGGTGGGGACGCACATCCAAACTATCATTCCCTCGCTGGCCCTTCCCAGATCTCATGTGTTCTTCTCACATTGCAACATACAATCATGCCTTCCCAACAGTCCCCCAAAGTCTTAACTCATTCCAACAATAACTCAAAAGTCCAAAGTTCTGAGACAAGGCAAGTCCCTTCCACCTATGAGCCTATAAAATCTAAAACAAGTTATTTACTTCCAAGATACAATGGGATTATAGACATTGGGTAAACATTTCCATCCCCAAAGCGGCGGAAATTAGCCAAATGAAAGAGGCTACAGGCCCCAAAGAAGTTCCAAACCCAGCAGGGCAGTCATTAAATCTTAAAGCTCCAAAACAATCTCCTTTGACTCTGTGTCTCACATGCAGGACACACTGGTGGGAGGGGTGTGCTCCCAAGGCCTTAAGAAGCTCTGCCCCTGTAGCTTTACAGGGTTAAGCCCCCGCAACTGCTCTTATGGGCTGGCATTGTTGAGTGCCTACAGCTTTTCATGGCTCAGGGTACAAGCTGTCAGTGGATCTACCATTCTGGGGTTGGAGGATGGTGGCCCTCTTCTCACAGCTCCATTAGGCAATGCCCCAGTGAGGACTTCGTGTGGGGGCTCCAACTCCATATTTCCCCTCTGCACTACCCTAGTAGAGGTTCTCCATGAGGGCTCCACCCCTGAAGCAGACTTATGCTTAGATACCCAGGCTTTTCCATACATCCTCTGAAATCTAGGTGGAGGCTGCCAAGCCTCAGCCCTTGTACTCTGTGCACCCACAGGCTTGACACCACATGGAAGTCACCAGGGCTTATGGCTTGGATCCTCTGAAGCAGAGTCCTGAGCTACACCTGGGCCACTTTGAGTCATGGCTGGAGCTGGAGTGTCTGGGATGCAAGGAACAATGTCCCAAGGCTGTGGAGGGCTGCAGGGCCCTGAGCCTGGTCCATAAAACCATTCTATCCTAGGTCTCAGGGCCTGTAATGGCAAGGGCTGCCTCTTAGGTCTCAAAAATGTTGTCTAGGCCTTTTACCCATTATCTTGGCTGTCAGCACTTGTCTCCTATTTAGATTCGGAAATTTCTCTAGCAAGTGGTTACTTTGCAACCCCCTTGAGTTCTCCTGAAAATGGGCTTTTCTTTTCTACCACATGGACAGGTTACACATTTTCTAAACTTTTATGCTCCGCTTCCCCTTTAAGTATAAGTTCCAGCCTTAGGTTATTTCTTTGCTCATGCAGCTGAGCATATGCTGTCAGAAGCAGCCATGTGACATATTGAACACTTTGCTGCTTAGAAATTTCTTCCACCAGATACTCTAAATCACTCTCAAGTCCAGACTTCCACAGAACCCTAAGACATGGACACAATGCAGCCAAGTTCTTTGCTAAAGCATAACATGCATGACCTTTGCTCTAGGTCCTGATACTAGGCCTCGGAGCCTGTCATGAGAAGGGCTGCCTCTTAGGTCTCTGAAATGCTGTCTAGGCCTTTTACCCATTATCTTGGCTATCAGCACTTGTCCCCTATTTAGATACAGAAGTTTCTTTTTTAACTCAAACCTATGGCTTTCATATGGCAGAAAGAAAAATAACTGAATAACAAGAATAGCTGATATTTATATGAATACTTTTCTCATGCTAGACCGTATGTTCTACAGGCTTTACTGGCATTATCTCTATCATTACAACAGTGATAACTACTACAGTTTGAGCATTCGTAATCTGAAAATCCAACATGCTCCAAAATCTGACATACTTTGAGTACCAACATGACACTCAAAGGAAATCCTTATTGGAGCATTTCAGATTTTCTAATTAGGGATGCTCAGTCAACAAGTACAGTCAGTCCTCTTATATTTGTGGGTTCTGTATCCATGGATTCAACCAGCTGTGGATCAAAAGTATTTGGGGAACAAGGGGAAAGATGGTTGTGTCTGTACTAAAAATGTACAGACTTTTTTTCTTGTCATGACTCCCTAAACAATACAGGATAACAACTATTTACATAGCGTTTACATTGTATTAGGTATCACAACGAATCCAGAGATGATGTAAAGTATATGGGAGTATACGTGTGGGTTATATGCAAATACTATGCCCTTTTATATAAAGCATTTGAGCATCTGCGGACTTTAGTATCTATGTGGTGGGTGACATGGGGAGTCCTGAAACTAATAATTCACCATGGATACCAAGGGACAACTTTAATGCAAATTTTCCAAAATTTCAGGACATCTGAAATCAGAAACAGTTCTGGTCCCAAGCATTTCCAACAAGGGATACTCATCCTATGCTACTGTTAGTAGTTTACTGCTAAGGAAACTGCAGCTTATGGTGACTAATTTACTTACCTCAAGAGCTTTACAGTTAGTGATTGACTTGAGATTTGAACTTGGGCTCTCTGACTTCAGAGCTGTTTACTTAACTACTAAGTTTTCTCCTCCAGTAAAATCTCAAGAATACCTGAGCCAGCAGTTTAGGAAAAGATGAAGTTGTTGTTAGAAACAAAACAGTCATTGGGCTTTAGCATGGGCACATTCCCTGACTTAATATTATCTAATAACTCTTTTAATAAAAATAAAAAAGAGTATTATAGTATTTTATCAGTGTATTTCCAAAATTTTTGAGGGAAGGAATTATTTAGTACACATCTGCCACAACTGTAAGAGTTTTTGTTTTACTGTGCTTGAGTTTGAAAGGGAATTAATATAATAGGAAGATACTTTTGTACTACAGTTTGAGTGCGTGTAAGAGAAACAGAGTCAAATAAACCTATCTGAGGCAGGTGACTGACAAGTGCTTTGGCATAGCATTTTCTTAGGCAAAAATATAAGCTGAGATATTAGGATAGGCAGTTCAGAAATGCCAATTTAACACAGCTTTTTCAGCTTTTAGCATACTGGTTATTCTGCATCCAGTAGGCCATAATGAGATGTGGGAGGTAAAAATCAGTAATTAAGATACACAGAATCAGAAAGTGTTGACTATTTGAATGGAAAATCTGTCTCTTATATACACGAAGCCTCTTAAAATGCATTTCTCCTATGATCTAGAAACAGTATAGCAACATCTCAATAAAACCAGGGTGTTTCAGCTAGGCGTGCTGGCTCACACCTGTAATACCAGCACTTTGGGAGGCCAAAGCAGAAGGATCACTTGAAACCAGGAGTTTAAGACTGCCTTGGGCAACATGGCGAGACTCCGTCTCTACAAAACATTTATTTTAATTAGCTGGATATGGTGGTACACACCTGTAGTTCTGGTTATTCAGGATGGCCTGAGCTCAGGCATTTGAGGCTGCAGTAAGCTTTGATTGTGCCACTGCATTCTAGCCTGGGCAACAGAGTGAAAAATAACAACAGCAACAACTAGGGAGTTTCTAGCAAACAAGTGTTTATTAGAACTTTTTTTTTTTTTTAAGTAATTTACATAATCTGTATAATTTTTATGAAAGTAATGCATCCTTATAATTTTAAGATATTTAATTCAGAAAATACAAAAAATAAAAAGAAATCACTCAAGATTACCAAAGAGATAACCTGCAATAATGTTTGGTGAACATCATTCCAGATAGTATCATGCTATTTTTTTTTTTTTTTTTTTTTTTTTTTGAGACGGAGTCTCACTCTGTCGCCCAGGCTGGAGTGCAGTGGCCGGATCTCAGCTCACTGCAAGCTCCGCCTCCCGGGTTCACGCCATTCTCCTGCCTCAGCCTCCCGAGTAGCTGGGACTACAGGCGCCCGCCGCCTCGCCCGGCTAGTTTTTTGTATTTTTAGTAGAGACGGGGTTTCACCGTGTTAGCCAGGATGGTCTCGATCTCCTGACCTCGTGATCCGCCCGTCTCGGCCTCCCAAAGTGCTGGGATTACAGGCTTGAGCCACCGCGCCCGGCCCATCATGCTATTTTAAAAGTAAAAGTGTTATACGTGATTTCAGTGAATTGAAAAAGAATAACTCATCAGTTTGCTTCTCCCTGGATTAAAGTCTGTTCTCTCTTATTGCCATTTGGGACAGACTTGGGGAGCTGGTGGATTTAGAGCTACGCTGAGCCACATCTGCCTTTCCTTGACCACCCTTTTATTGGCTTTACACCCATAAGGTTCTTCTCCTTGCCTTGTGTGATTGCTGCTCATGAACTTCTCTCTCTCTCTCTTTTTTTTTTTTTTTTTGTTAATTTCTTTTGGTTTTAAAATTAAGGTAAAGAGAAATTGTTCCTGCTGTGTTCTATTTTTATCTAGAATTCCTGGTATTTAGAATTTCACTGTATGGTATTTATTGTCTCTTTTTTGGAATATGTAGAATAACAAATCAAGGGTATCTTGAAATGTTGCAAAAAACTGTTAGTCTCAGACATTGCTTTTTTCTTTTCCTCTTTGGTTGACTGTGTAGAAAATAGTAACTTTTTTGTTAATTTTTTTTGCTTTTTACTTTCACAGATTTGTATATTGATGTGGTCTAAGTCATTTATAGTAAAAGTAGCTAGCTATGTATCTCCCTAATTACATAAGTTACTCAACAGCAGTAATGAGCATCTCCTTATGCGCATCTCCCGCAGCATAAATAGGACTGTTAATTAAGTGCATTTCATTAGTGATTCTTTATTGACATTGAATTTTTATATTATCTCCGTAGTGCTAGGATTTATGTGTAAGCATCATCTACATATTTTAATTTGAGCAGTTCTGAGCACAACCTACTTTCCTGTATCTTCTATTTTAGTACCCCATTGTCTTAAGTTATACCATTATGGTGGAGTCCTGTGGACTAACCCTTGCCCTTTCTCTTATAGATGTCCTGGACTGTTAGTAAAATACTAATACTTTAGTGTAAATCTGTGATGTGTCTCTGTGTAAGTAGGTCTTATAAAAAGGAGTTGGAAAGGTAAATGAATTAAAAGACTAATACGTATTTCTAAACTTAAACTTATTTAAAATTATATCTTTTTGTATTGACATTAAGAAATTTTTTAGGTAGGATAATAAATAGTATGGTGATTTGTTTAAGTCTCTAGAAATAACGTATCAAAGCATTTATTGATGATATGGTATCTTGGAATTTCTTCAGAATCACCTAGGAAAGAATAGTAGTTAGGGTGTAGATGAGACAGGATTAGATAAGATGTTCATTATTCATCTTTTGCTCTTGTTCTCTCCGCCTTGTAGCATGAAAGGTCTTTTTCATTCTTAATCCCTTTTACTAAAATGAAACATACAGAAACAGACAAACTAATGAAGTCTGTGGGAACAGGTCTGCCATAGGTTAATGTTTCAAGTAGCATTATGTTTTATATGCTTTTAACCATTATTTTATTCCACTGTTAGCCTGTGGACTGTTAGCTGTACATTCAAAAGGTAGTCCTGATGTATAGCAAAACATGAAAAGCACTGCATTACCATGATAAAAGTGGTTCTGTTATATGGGGAATAGTTGTTTGTTAATGACAGTGCAGTATTGACAAATTTATCTTCATGATGCCTCTTTTTGCATGGTTTTATTGTAATGAATCTTACTTTCTTGTTCTAGGCTGCTGAAAATATGACAAGCTGACTTTCTGGAGAAATTCTGATGAGATATGTCAAGCTGTGCGAGAGGATTTGAAGATGGCATTGTAGTTGAGAATGTACAATGAAATTACTGCATGCAGCAGTGTAGAAAAATTTTCCTTTTTAAAAGAATTATAAAACCGTAGCTTTATAAATCAGTGGAAAGTGACTTACAGAGAGAACTATCAGATGTGTTTACATCACATCTTATTCACTTTTTTTTAATGGCTCTAATGCTTTGGCATTGCTATGTTCATATTTATATATTCCTTATTTATAGCTCTGATGGCTTTAATTTTCTAAGCAGTCTGTCTATCAGATGTGCACATCTGCTGTGCCTGGTTGAAGTATAGTAGAACCCATCAGTAGTAATGTGTAGTAGTTATGACTTGTTGACATTTCCATTATAAACTTTAATTTTGAATTGTTTATGCATTATAACTGTGGATTTATATTGTATTGGGCTGAAAGCTGACAGGATTTCAGCCACCATTCGTGAATTTTGATTTAGATTCATTATTATATCAGAATCTTGTTTTTTAAAATAAGAGCATGGAAAACATTTCTTGTAATCTGCTCCTTAACAAAGAATTTTTAGTTTTTTAAACAGTTTGTTGGGCAGCTAATAATGTGAACCAGGTCATTTTTGTATTGAGTAAAAAATTAAACTTTGAGAAACTTGGATTTTAAAAGTAATGACAATGCTTAGGTTAGTATTTGTAATTTGAGTCATTTACATCTAATGAGAATGTTAGTTGAGAATGTTTTCTTAAAGTTTTATACCCTATAGAGGACTAAAAAAATAACTTGTAAAATGAAACATAGCAAACATGCAAAATTCCTAGTTACTTTTATTACATAAAAGTCATTTTAGTGCTTACCTAATAAATCTTGAATGGTTATTTAATAAATTATTAGATGGGTGATGTGTTTCAAAAGATATTTGCTATTTTTTGAAGAAATAAGGATTTGCAGTCATTAAACAAAACTAAACAATCAAATGTTCTGTATTAGGAATCTTAAGTATGGGTTTTTGTTTGTCATTATTTTTGCCCTTAAAATTTTAACTCATCAAGTGAAGATTCAAAAACAAATTTTATAAAATGTAGAATAGTATTGATTCTGTTCCTGTAACAGAATCTCAGTGGAGTTTTTTTTGCAAAACTAATATGGATTTAATCTGATGTTATTATTTCTTAAATTTTAGATTTTGTTGGGTACCATTTATATGATTGTACAAGCATTCACTCTTTAGTAGCATTTTTTGTTTTTCAGACAAGCTGAAGAGGTTTTATTAAGATTTAGTAATACTTAAATAGCAACCTTCTCTGCTATTTTTTTTTTTAATCTAGAATTTTGACCATTTTGACTCTTTAAATGTCTGGCATCTTTACCAAGTAAACTTGGAAGGTCTGTTACTGGTGAAACAGGTTGAGGAGACAGTAGGAATTTGTAAAAAGTCGTTTGATTGATAATAAACACTACAAATACTATGTGTTATTTATAAAATCATAAATAATACTTTTGTCAAACTCCAAAATTTGTATATACTTCCAGACCATAAGAGTTGATAGTATTATTTATGACTTTGTAGATTAAGTTATTTATGAATGAAACAAAGCAGGAAAATACATTGTGAAGGGATCGTGTTTACAGAGGACTTCTTTAATGTGTCACATTTTAAAAATGTAAACATATATTTTTAATGCACACTTAAGTAATATTTAAGAAACTAAACAAAATAATGATACAATTGCAGTGTTGTGCTTGTTGTCAGTGACAAAAATAAAACCATTTTGGTGGTATTGGCCTGTACTTTTGTTTTAATATATGCTTTTGTTAATTCAACTTGTGTTTCTATAGGACAAAAGATACAGAACATAAAATTTACCATTTTAACCTTTTTTTTTTTTTTTTTGAGGTGGAGTCTCACTCTGTCGCCCAGGCTGGAGTGCAGTGGCATGATCTTGGCTCACCGCAGCCTCTGCCTCCTGGGTTCAAACTATTCTCCTGCCTCAGCCTCCCGAGTAGCTGGGATTACAGGCACCTGCCACCACACCTGGCTAATTTTTTGTGTTTTTAGTAGAGGCGGAGTTTCACCATGTTGGCCAGGCTGGTCTCAAACTCCTGACCTCAGGTGATCTGCCCACTTCAACTTCCCAAAGTGCTGGGATTATAGGCATGAGCTACAATGCCCAGCCCTTTTTAACCGTTTTTAAGTTTCATAGTTCAGTGACATCCAGAATATTCATACTGTATTGTAACTGTCACTATTGTCCATCTCTAGAACGTTCTTATTATCCTAAACTGAAACTCTGTACCTATTTAGCAATAACTCCCCATTGCTTCCTCCTCCCAGCCCCTGATAAACAGTTTCCTACTTTTTTGTCAATGAATTTGACTATTCTAGATACCTCATCTAAGTGGAATCATATTTGTCCTTTTGTGTTTGTCTTATTTTATACAGCATGTCTTCAAGATCTGTCCATGTTATAACATGTATCCAGATTTCCTCTTTAAGGATGGTATTCTTTTATATATATGGTGGACATTTGGGTTGTTTCTACCTTTTGTCTATTCTGAAAAGGCTATTCACAATAGCCACAATGTTATGGACATTCGTATACAAATAACTGTTCAGGTCCTTGTCAGTTCTTCGGAGTGTACACACAGAAGTGGAATTGCCAGCTTTTAAACTGTTTTTTTTAAAGTTTGACTTTAATTCCTTAGGCATTAGAGAAAGAAGGAGACATGGTCAAGCTTGTTTTGGGAGTTGTTTCGCTAGTGACATGTAGGCTTGATTTGAGCAGGGAGAGGTTAGAAGCAGAGACTAGTTAGAACACTATGACAGTAACCCAGGCCTCAATGCTCACATCTGAGTAGGTTCAAGAGACACTACAAAAAATAAAAAACATGGGACTTAATGGCAGGTTATGGGGAAAATAGAGAAGAAAATAAGGTGACTGAGTTTCTAAACTTGGGTAACAAAGATAGCAGCAAACAGAAATCAAGAAGGGAATATAATTTTCCTGGAAAAAATGATTTTTATTTAAAGAATATTGTGTTTAACATATATATTAAATCTTAAACCTTGCCAATCTTCCAAAGACCTGCCCATCTCCATTTTTTGTCCTACAGCATTACCACTCTCTAACATAGTATACAATTTGCTTAGTTATATCTATTAATATAAGCAAATACACCACTACCCAAAAGTCCCACAAGGGCGGGGATTTTTCTGTGTTGTTTCCATCGGTGTAGCTTAAGTATCTTGAACAGTGCTTAGCACGTAATAAATGCTCAATAAATACATGTTGGCTGAATGAATGGATAGACTGGGCATCCAGGAAACAACATGTACCACGTGGTTGGAAAATAACTAACATTGAGAACTTGCTGCATGCAAGGCACTGGTTTTGGTCTTTTAATAGATCAAATTGTTTAACCTTTAGGCTTACAGCAACCACAAGGGATAGATAGCATCATCCTATTATAGGTCAGGAAGCTGAGGCACGAAGTGGTATATAACTTAAATCTCAGAAGTGGTAGAGCCAGGATTTGAATGCTGGCAAACTGAGTCTGGAGCCCACACACCTTAGTGCCTGTTACTATACATCATCTCATGGGATGAAGAGGCGTAGTTGGCAAAGGAGATGAAGGAGATTGAAAATCAGATGGCCAAAGTGGTAGTTGAAGCGCTGGATGTAGATGCTGAGAATTTAATAGAAGACTAGTGACAGATGCTTCTCTTTCCCAGGATGGTCCCATTCTTACGGAATATATCATTGATGATGGTAGGCTGGTGAAGTTTTGTAGCATCTCAGCAGATCTATATTACTGCTTTTTAATTACAACAATGTAAAGAAATAACAGGTTAAAGTCATTCCCTTTCCAGAGGTGCTATACTAGAGAAACCCAGTTCTAACAACAACAGCATCTCTTATGAAATTCCCTCTTGGGGCTCATATATACCAGATTGGAGTATTGTAAATGTAAAAAAGATGATGCATGTGACAGCCCTAAATAGCAGTCTCAGGAAATCTGTTAACAAGTGACACTGTCCATTAGAATAGGGCAGATTTTTTTTTTTTTTTTTTTTAACAGTTCAGAGGTCTTTTATTTTAACACCTATTATGCCTTGAATTCATTGGGAATAGGTTCCAGCAGCTCAGACTCCTTCCCACTGGTTCTCACCAAGTGCTTCTCCGGGTGGAGCAGGCTGGTGCTTCAGTTGCACCTAAGTACCTTTCTCTTTGACTTCTTTTTCTGATAATCTTCCTTCACATGTTTCAGGAAGCTGTCTCAGCTCTTAGAGTACTTAATGTGTTCTTAGTTCTCTTGGCAAGAATCTTGCCCTTAACTTGTTTGTTGATAACACTGTCAGGAGCCTGCTGGATAACACTACAGACTCTTCCAGTTTTGCCATGGTAACACCTGAAGAGTAACCATTCCCTTGATGTCTACAACATCACCTTTCTTGTAGATTTCGCATATACCTGGCCAAAGGGGCAACTCCTTGTTTTCTAAAAGGCCTGGAGAACATATATCAGGTGCCTCTCTTCTTTCCCTTTGTGTTTGTCATTTTGGCGAATTATTGAAAGATGGCGGTTCCAGCCAAAAGGCCAGAATATTGAGGTATTTTATGGCTCCCCAGTAGCTGAGGGAACATTCATGCATGTTATATCAGAAGCAGTCCACACTGTGACCTCTGATTACCTAAAGCAGTAAATCACCAGATGTACACTTGGAAAGTTTTATCAAAAGCCTTTAAAGAGGTTGTTCAGATAGTTTTACTTTCACATATATATTTCACCTGTTTTTTTAGAAGTGAATCTACCTACTCTCCTACTAGCAAACCACCTTTTTATTGTAACAGCAATACCTTTATTTTGCATGCACTTTGAGAATTAAAATATCCATGACTACTTAAGTGGAAAACCAGCATTATTTCCCCATAGCTGTAAAAATAATTACAATTAAATATGGAATTATATCTTTGCTAGGTATTGTCTTTTAAAGCTATGATCCTAACACCTACTTTTCCTTCTATAGAAAAGCAGATGAGTACCGGGCGTGGTGGTTCATACCTGTAATCCCATCACTTTGGGAGGCTGAGGCGGGTGGATCACCTGAGGTCAGGAGTTTGAGACCAGCCTGACCAACATGGTGAAACCCCACCTACTAAAAATACAAAAATTAGCCAGGCATCGTGGGGCACAGCTGTAATCCTGGCTACTCAGGAGGCTGAGGCAGGAGAATCACTTGAACCTGGGAGGCGGAGGTTGCAGTGATCTGAGATCATGCCACTGCACTCCAGCCTGGGTGACAGAGACTCTGTCTCAAAAAAAAAAAAAAAAGTAAAGCAGATGAGCGAGTGTCAGAACACAGAACTGCATTTCCTCTAGATGTTACCAGAAGGATGAGAAGAGGATTGAAATCAACTTCTTCACTATGGTATTTAATGCATTTTAAATGCAATGTCCCTGTGTACCACCTCATTTCATACCCATCCCATACTTTGGAAAACCACTATCTTAGATAATCCCCAAGAATCCTGTCGACTCTAATATAATTTAGTAGGCAGCTCAGGCTTTGGTGCCAGACAGGAGGCTTGAACTCGTGCCCTCTCCAAGTCTGACAATAACAGCATAACAGCTCACAGCATTGTGAAGATTAAATGGAGACGATGGATGTAAAATCCATAGTATACCACTTGGCACATAGCAGGAGCTTCATAAATGTTCAACTCCTTTTTGTTTTGTATAAATTAGACCTACCTAGTAACTTCATTTCAGGAGTGGCTTAGTGGTTGTGAAGTGACATATTTAAGATGTACTTTTTTTTTTTCTTATCAATAGAATTAGACAATGTTTTTTAGGTTGTCACGTTAATGTACTCATTTTTGGAAACATAATGTATATAATGTATTTAAATATAAGCATATACTGTGCTTATATAGGAAGGAAGATAAAGACACCATACTAATAAAAATGAAAGATTAATATGTAGCTAAATTTTAGTGTCAAGACTTGCATAGCTAATTAGAGAAAGGAGCCCACAGGGATGAGAATGTGTTGGGAGAAAAAGTAAAGATTATGAATAAATTTTAAATCTCTATTTTCAACATAAAAAGAGCTCGTTCTCAGTTGCTTCTGATAAACCCAAATGGGAATATCCGTGATCTTTGTTCCTTCTGAACACCGAGAACCATCATGTAAAACAGGAGCAAACAACTGACTAAAGGAAAGCTTCCTTGGAAGTCCACCTATGGAAAACTGTAGGGAGCTAGGGGCGGTCAGAGAAAGAGCGCTGTAAGATTTAATTTAAGCCCTGGATAAACACCATTCCTGCTTTCACCAGCTTTACCTAATAGAAATGGATTTTATCAATCAAGGCCAAGTTCAGAGACAGAGGGCGGGAGGGAGGGAGGCATTTTGCATAGAACAAAGACAAAAGTGTTTTAAGTTCACAAAAATACCACTCACGTTAAAATGCAAGACCCTGGGAGCCCTAGGATTTTAGGGAAAACTGGTATTAACCTGACCTTTCAAGGTAACAGACATTAGCATGACTTAGATATAAATAATTGTGATGAATTATGATGATCCCTGCATTGTTACTTTCATCAGTTTGGAAAGGTTTGAGAATCTATGATGAGATTTAGCAGTAAATCTGGTTAACTAGGGAGCCCCTAGGGGAACTAATTTATGGGAGACAGAAGAGGGTTTTTTTTTTTTTTTTTTTTTTGAGAGGAGTCTTGCTCGGTCGCCCAGGCTGGAGTGCAGTGGCGCAGTCTCAGCTTACTTCTACCTCCG